CTTTTCAGAAGTCTCAACTTATATGAAAAGAGTTAGATGAATTGATATGGAATTGTCACATGCCTACTTTCTGCTACAAATTATTTTGATTTCTTCGGATTTTAATCAATGTTTAGCGGGTGAATACTTTAATCAATATATAATACTGTTGAATTCGATCTTATCTAATTCAATTAAATATATCTATGTAAATAATTTCTAATAGATGAATTGAAAAAGAAGTAATTGCACAAAATGAAATTCATATACAGTCTTTCGAGAATTCGATGAATAACTTATCAAAGTAGAAAGATCTTAATGAATAGATCAAAAGCCATGATACATTCAAAATTCATAGGTACTTCCTTCGATGCAATACTTGTGTAATAATAATCCAAAAGTGCGTCTATAACATTTTTCTAAATATTGCTTCAAATGTGCGGAGTTTTAACTGTTCATCAAGTCAAATAAAAACTATAAAGTTCTCAAGCAACAATATTTTTTTATACTTCTATCGAAAAAGAAATGATCCTCAAATTAGCTTTATAAGAATCTTCGTTTTATGAAATACAAACTATACGGATCTCACTAGAGTTCGTCCAATTTAGTCCTAAACCCGGTTAGATTCAAAAATTTTTCACCCGACAGACTCTAGTCACTATAAAAATGTGTAGAACACGATAGTCACCAAATACAAAAAAAAACCTCTAAACAAAATACCTCGTATCTTGAGGGCGACTATCCAATCCCGATTTCATTGAGCGTATCAAAGGCCAATTCGAATTCTAAAAACGCTCAATAAATCCATCCGAAAATTTTGCATCCGATGAACTCTAGTTCTCACACAAAATTATTTAATCTGACTAACTGATCGACTCTTTAATATTTTGTAAATATTGTATAATGTTTTGATTCAATTTTATACATAATTTTTCTATTATAATAAAAATCAGACAAAAACTTGTTTTCATTTACCTTGGATTCCAACTTGCATCAAAAACAATAACTCTATTACTACCAACTAAATTAATTCCAATTCCACCAGCTAATGTTGATATAAGAAATAATCGTGAACGTATATTTGTTTCATCATTAAATGCTTTAGCATAACGTTTTCTTGCTATTACATCTGTTTGACCATCCATACGAAAATAATCTTGATCACGTATCCATTCTATAGGTTGTGATATATAATCACATAAATCTTTATTATTAGTACCATTTGAAGAAAGCATTTGACGTAATTGTCTTCTTGATTCACATTGTTTTTTATATTCTTCTTCATTTTGTTTTTGTAAATAATATAAAAATCTTTCAATATAATTTAATGTATATAAACTACGTGAAAAAAGAAGAATTTTATCACCAATATCAGCACATTTATCAAGAATTGATTTAAGTAAAACTAATTTTCCACTTAAATTTATATCAAATTCACTTTCATCTGGTAACATATCTAAGAATGGAAACCAAAATTGTTCACGCATATCATTTAACCATGGTTGATCAGTATTTTCTTGATTATTATCATCATCATCATCATCGGATTCATTTAAAGGTATCTTATCATTACCAGTATCAAAAACATCAGAATTCATCTGTTTTCCATTAAATATTTTTAATGAATTTTGTTTTTCTTTATTTTTTGCTGCTGTTCGACTTCGAGTTCGATAACTTTTAACTATTTCAACTTTTTCATGAACATTATCATCGTCATTATTGTTATCAGTTAATTTCGATTTTGAATCTGAATCTAATCCTTCATTTATTTCATCATTATTATTATCATCATCATCATCATCATCATCTTGATATGAACCTGATTCAACAGTTGTTACTGAAGAACCATTTGATGATTTAGACATAGTACGTTTTTGTGATTTTGAATGTTCATCATTATTTGTTGATGGTTCAACACTTTCATCTTCATCACCAACATTATCAATTAAGAAACCACTAAAATTTTTCTTTTTATTCGACTAGAAAAATAAAAAATTATGTAAAATTAATTTCAAAATATATCTTTTGAATTCAATTGAAAAATGATTCTATTGAACTATTTTATATTAAGAAACAATAAATGAAATTAAAAATGATTGTTTGAAATATATTCAAAGACCTGTCATCATCATATATATCGTTCATGATTAGAGATGTGTGGAAACAAATTTTTTTTGGTCCTGGTTATAGCCTCAGTAAATCTAATCTGATCCCAGTCTAAAGAAGGCTATTTCAGAATTAATTCATATTACATCTAAAATAGTCCTTCAATACTCGATTTTTTTTTTGTTTTATTTAGTCCATGACGAGCAGTTTTTTTGAGTTGTTTCTCTTGAATTATACTCTAATTGATATGATTTAAAAGGTAATTCGTTTAAAAATTATAGAATATTAAACTATAATCTTCAGTTCTGCATGAGATCAGTCGTTTTCTCATAGTCCTGGTCTCGCACATTACTAGTCACAATCTTTTTCGCAAAAAACGATGCTATCATCAATCATGAAAGATGTTGCTTTGATGAGAAAAAACTCGAAAATCTCTCAAAGAATATGTTATCTCAACGTATAGAATATCGTTCGAAGACAATGTCAATCATTTGATGTTTCTCAAACCAGAAATGTGTATACATGTATATCTCAAACAGTTTCTCTTCATATTTTCTAGTATTTATCGAATATTTACCTTTTCTTCTTTTTCATTTTTCTTTTTATTAGTTTTCTTTTTAGTTTTTTTCTTTTCTTCCATTTCTTCATCTTCATCAGTAAACATAGTTTCAAGTTCACTATCATCAAGAAAATCATCTTCATCTTTATTTAAACGTTTTTTCCAATGATCAATAAAATGTGGATAAAGTAAAAATGGATGTCTAAAATAAGAAAAGACAATATCAATAATAATATTTCCAAAAAAAAAAAAAACAAAAATTCTTTTCTTACGTCCAAATTTTTTGTAAATATTGATAATCAGCAAATAATTTTACTGATTTAAAATCTTTTTTCAATGTAGATAAATTTTGTTGTTGTTGTTGTTGATGATTTTCTTGTTGTTTTAAATATAAATCATATAATGTTGTTTGTAAATCACTTAATTGTATATTAATTATATATTCAAATTTTGGTGGTAAATAATCTTTTAATAATGAATAATCTTTTCGATCAATAAAACCTATTAATAATTCATGTAAAACACATGCACGTCGTCTCATTAAACAAACATCTTCTTCACTTGAATCTCGATGTTGACCATTTTGTATTGGATTAACAAAACGATTTATATATTCTTGTTGACTACCAAGTAAATTTGGTTTTATAAATGATACCATACAATAACTACAAAGAAAAAACAAAACATCAAATTTAGAAAAAAAAAAAAAAAAAAAAAAAAAAAAAAAAAATGTTATGTTGTATACTTACTATTCAATGAGATTATTTTGTAATGGTGTACCAGTTAAAACAATACGACGATATGTTTTTATTTTTGATAAACATTTAGCAAGAGCTGTTTGAGCATTTTTTAAAATATGTCCTTCATCAGCAACTAAATACAAAAAAAGGTTAAATTAAGTTTTCAATAGAATTTATATGTTGTATAAGAACGATGTTATTTATATAGTAGGTGGAAAATTAATTATTTTCATTAATTCTGTACAATAGAGAAGTTCCTTCACGATATCTGTAATAATTTTTAATAAACTGAGTGATTCAATCTGTTTTCTAGAAGCTTCCATAGATATTAAAAACAGTATTTGTGCAAGATGAATTTGATTACAAGTAGTAATTGAGAATGAAATCATAAGCAGGAGTTTAAGTGATGACTTGAGATGTGTGGGATCAAGTTTTTTTTGATTTCAGTAACTTTTTTCTAGCGACCTCGGTAACTTTAATCTAGTCCCAGTTCCAGTCTAGAGAAAACTATTCGAGAATTTATTCATATGACATCTGAAAAAAATCCTTCAATACTCGTTTTTTTGATTTATTTAGTCAATTATTAGCATTTTTTGGATCATCTCTCTGGAATTATGTTCTGATTGATATGCTATATAAGATTATTGGTTTAAAACTATAGAATATTTAACTATAATTTTTAATTCCAGTGCCGAGACAAAAGTTCTAGTCCCGCATATCTCTAGTGATGGCAGATGAATTTTCTTATATATATTGAATAAGTGTAAAAATTTGATGTTTTAAAGATTAATACAAAGCCTATTGATTATATTTCAAGCTGTAATTATTCATCAAGAAGTAATCTTTGGATGCTATATTAGAACTTTCGAATATTTATTTTTAATCGATGGTAAGATTTCAAATTTGATATAAAATCTTCTAATCAATAATTTTCCAAAATAAAAGAAAATATCTATTGTCATTTTTTTCTATTTATTGAAGCACTCTATACCTTCAACATTCGAATATAAAATTATATCTATCTAAAGTAGAGACAAAAAGTTTAGAACTACAGTATTTTTGATTTTTTTCCCTTAACAATAGTAGTTAGAACAAATCAGACAAAATCCATCTGCAACGAGCTGCACCTACACCCCGAAAGATTCCAAAATGTACAATATAGCAAATTCATATAAACCATAGAAAATAGCGTTTCAGACATATTGCACAATGATTGTGGAGAACTTGAGCACAGCTTATTTTGTTCAAAAATATTTTTTTCTATCTTATGAACTTGTTTGCAAAACATTTTTTTATAGAATCCAAAAAAAAATGGTCCTAAGAGTCTTGGCTTTCCCGAGATCTTTCATTCAAAAGTACTTCTTCTGATAGAAAATCAATTCAACTAAACAAAATCTTTTCTCCGATTTATTCTAGTTATTACATTAAGTAAAAGTCGAAAATATTTGGTTTCTAAACTTTTCATTATCACTTTAACGCTTTTCTCATAGTATCTAATTCTAATTCAGATAATAAAAACAAAATCGACAGTAGATACTAATGAATTTTTGAATATTTTCTATGTTGTGTTAAATCATTGAAAAAAAAATTGAATAATTAAATTACCAATGATATCAGGTCCTGGATCAACAAGACATTTATATGCTTGTGCTTTAGTTTTTTTATTTTTTAAACCAAAACCATTAGCTAATCTTCTATATATATCATAACCCATAATCATAACACCACCATGTTCATACCAATAATTTAAATGTGTAACACGTAAATTTGGTTTTATTGTTGTTAATTGATAATTATCAACAGGTGGTTCAACATCATTTAACCAATATTCAAATTCATTTGACCAATTTAAAGCTAAGAAGAAAAAAACAAACTTTCCTATAATCTTTAAACAAAATATCCTGTCGAATTAGGTGATCTATTCAGAATTGAGAAATCTATTGTAATATGTTGTAGAGCAAGTCGAAGCGCTTCGAATGATATATATTATGCTCCTTAGTATCGATGAAATTTGTTTGTAAAATATTTTTCTTATATACAGTTTTGTAGAGGTTTACATAGACTACAAGCTCATATGCTTAACATCTCTGATCATTCTATTTTTGATAGGAAAGAATGTGATTTTTCAATGATTTACAACCGTTTTTCACTAATGGTGAGACTATGTGTCTTCAATAGTGTTGATCATAGAAGATGTTAACAGATATTAAGCTTTCTCAGAAATTGCCTATGATGTTCAAAATAGCCTTGCATTGAAAAATCTTAACCAGTTTGTACATCAATTTTCTTCTTTTAAAACATTATTTCGACATTTTGTCTCTCGAAATTCGTTTCTCGTGTGAAATAAACATG